CTCTCTCTCTAACCCAGGGATCACTGGAAAGAGATCAGGTGCAGGAACCATGCCTGACTCCCGTCCCTCTAAATGCTCAAGACACAGAGTACATTCAGAAAGCACATCAGCTGGATAAAGGAGATCTCTTAATCAAGAACATGCAGATCATAACCGAGGCCTCTGCTCTAGTTTTGCTTTTAGCAACACAGAGCTATCAGACACTGTGGTAGTGAATACCTCCACACTCGAGCGAGCGTTTGCCTCCTGTTAACCTGACAAGAACTGTGAGACATTTGACAAATTGTACCCGTTTCCGCCCATTTCATCGCAGGCTAAATTTAGACCCTCAGTGCTGACAGGCAGCACTGGCACCAAACAGGAAATGATGCAAATTAATACTTCACTCCTGCACATACATAGCCTCATTTATCTCAGGACATGAGGCCGGTGACATTCAAAATTCGTCATCTTCAATGCACGCCCTTCAGGAAAACATGCACGTTTAACTACCTGTCCCCCACCAATACTGTACCCCAGTGTTACACAGCAACAGACCCGTCCCCACCGGTACTGTACCCCAGTGTTATACAGCGACAGACCTGTCTCCCACCGGTACTGTACCCCAGTGTTATACAGCGACAGACCCGTCCCCACCCGTTCTGTACCCCAGTGTTATACAGTGATAGACCTGTCCCCACCAGTACCATACTCCAGTGTTATACAGCAACAGACCTGTCTCCCACCGGTACTTTACCCCAGTGTTATACAGTGACAGACCTGTCTCCCACCGGTACTGTACCCCAGTGTTATACAGAGACAGACCCGTCCCCCCCCGTTCTGTACCCCAGTGTTATACAGCAAAAGACGTTTCCCCCTCCGGTACTGTACCCCAGTGTTACACAGTGACGGACCTGTCCCCAGCAGTATTGTACCCCAGTGTTACACAGCGACAGTCCTGTCCCCACCTGTACTGTACCCCAGTGTTATACAGTGACAGACCCGTCCCCACCTGTACTGTACCCCAGTGTTATACAATGGCAGACCTGTACCCCAAGTGAAGAAGGCAGAGATAACTGGTCAAAGTGACCAGGTACGCCAAGTGGTGTGACATCAGCATTATTTCAAACTGAGTTCTTGTTAAAGCAGGTAGAGCGTGAGGCTCAAAATAGTAGAACCTGGATTTGCAAATGAATGTAAGCAATGTTACAATTAGAATTGCCAAGGAAAAGCGAAGAGACGAGGGAATGAGAGAGAAGAGCACTGGGTATAGGCTTGAAATGATACATTTAAACCAAGAGGTGTCAGATGCTGATGTAGACTCTGACGGTGAAAACCCTCGGACAGGAGATAAGAAAACATTTTAAGTTGTACAACTTCAAAACTTTTGAGGAATAGGATGGAGGAGCATTCCGCGTCATTTGAGAAAACAGCAAATGAATTGGCCAAAGGAAAAGTGGACAACGCTCATACAGATCAGAAACTGATGCTGAGCAGAGACTGATAGCCAAGTTCTGTCCCCATTAAGACAGCTTCAGCTGGGATCTTGGGTTCATGTCGCGCTACACGTGATCCACCATATTGTCCTGTATCTGTCAAAGCTTCCTTACTGTCCTGTTTTGACACCATCACTGTGATAACTTGTTATGATCCCTCAACCTTAATTAGTTTGTACAGTTTTGGATTCCTTGTTACTTTGGTTACACCTTTAGCATGTGACTCTTATACCTATCATGTTATTCCAGTTATTTAGTTTATCTCCAGCACCACCTTATTTTTAATTTTTTGTCATTATCTCTCTGCCTCAATTAATCGGATTATGGGTCATCTCTTCACTTGTTATTTGGCTGTTGACACTTTACTCACACTGCCTGATACTCACGAGACTCAGAGACTTGTTGTTCAGCCCGTCGAAACTCCACTCACACCATTTGTATAATCTTTTGATCTCTGTCAATATGGAGTCTGCGCCTAGATGCTCTCCTCACTTAACATGACGAAGGAGCAGCGCTCCAAAAGCTTGTGATTTCAAATAAACCTGTTGGACTATAACCTGATTTCGTGTGACTTCTGACCTTGTCCACCCCAGTACAACACCGGCAACTTCACATTGTGTAGATCAAGTCTGCAGGTACAGCACAGGAAGTTAATGCTTCCCTGTCAGAGGACGTTTCTATTTTATCACTGTGGGAGAAAACTCACATTGGGTGCATCCACGTTGGTTCTGGAAGCATACAGGCAAAAGTTTCAAGACTTGAGCAAATAGCCTGAACAAATCCACAATGAGTGTGACAGGGTTACACAAAGAAATGCTGACAGACAGATCCGAGAAGTTTAAGTGGAAGCTATGTAAGGAGGTCTCACAGTGATCATTCTCTTATAGGTATTTAAAAACACAATAGGGTAGTCAAGAAGGTGTTTGGTACGCTTGCCTTTATTGGTCAGTACATTGAGTATAGGAGTTGGGAGGGTCATGTTGCAGCTGTAC